TATCATATGTCCAGCCTACTACCCACCCCATTGGTCACTTAGTAGCAGTCCTGGTTATCACGTCAACGTTTGCAGTTTCATATTGCTTTTATTCAAATAACCCTTATTTAATTTAAAATGACCCCAAAGTGGTGATGCTGGCAATTTGGGTATTATAAAGAGGCATAAATGGTTTCTTTAAGTGTTGTTTAATATCAAAAAAGTACAATAAGATATTTTGAGAGAACTTCACATAATTTTTATTATAGCATATTGTTATAATTGTTGTTTATTAGTGTTGTTAGTTTCTCATTGTACCCAACTTATAAATTAAACTTTCTAGGTATGTGTGTAGAAAAAAAATAAAGTATATATAAAGTTTTGTATTATGTGTGGTTTCAGGGATCCAACTGGGAGTGTTGGATCCTCTGAGAATGAGGAGACTGCTGTTCTGCATTGCTTAGGCATTTTTTACTTACCATATGTTCAACTTATAGGTTTTATCCTTCATCACAAGTTGAGGAACATCTGTAGTTGTGTCTGGTTTCTTCCATTTAATATATTTTTGAGAGTTATTGTTGGTTTTAGTAATTGGTTATTGTCATTGCTGTATAGTGATTTTTTTTTTTTTTTTTTTTTTTAAGGAACGTACCTCATTTTGTTCTGCCATTGATGGACATTTTTAGTCATTTTTGATTTGGGGCTATGAAGAATAATGCTCCTGTAAACATTTCAATGGATGTCTTGTCAAAATATGTATTCATATCTCTTATACATAGTGAAATTTAGTTATTAGCTATACATATATTTAGTTTTAGTGTATACTGTTCAAGTTTTTTGAAAAAGGTGTACTGATTTAATACTATTTAAATGAATATAGTATGCTTTAATATCCAGCAAAGCAAGTTCCCTGAAAGACAGGGAACTTTTCTGTTAGGAACAAACTTTTTTTTTTTTTAAACATAATCTTTGAAATAAACTTTGGTAAATTGACATTAGATTAAAGTTATGTTAATTTGAAATGAATTGTTTATCCATGAATGCATTTGGAACTAACTTAACATATTTTTTTTTTAGTCTGTAGATCCTGTTTCCACCCCCCGCTTTTTTTTTTTTTGGAGGGGGGAAGCATGGTATTAAAACATAGTTACCATAACTGTGAAAATAATATGGAAGAGATGATCCCTGCCATCAACCATATAATAACCAGAGGCACTGAGAGATGTATACAGATAACTATAGGGCATAGAATAATAAATATAGGGTAGCATTAATAAATTATTTTATGGTATTGGGAACATGTAAATAAGAATCAAAGGAGACAGTGGTTGTGTATGGAGAAAAGTTTAGAAGGCTGTATTTTTGTGCCATAAACCTTTAGAATGAGTAGGGTGTTTTATAGGGTTGGAGAAATGAATGGGAGATGGAAGTTGCAGAGCATAGGGAAATATTTCTAAGTGAAGTTTCCCTGAGAAGCAAAACCAGTGAAATCAGAAATTTAGATGGCTAATATGCGATAGCCAGTAATTCAGTGATAGGACTAAAATCTGGGAGTTGGTGATGGTGTAATATAAGGAGCAATAATGCTTAGGTGATCATGTAGGGGCCTTATGGCAATAGCTTCATATTATATGTAAAGGAGTTTGAAATTTATTCTATTGGTATTTGGAAGACAAAGAATTTTCTGAATGTGGAAGTATAGGACCAAGTTCTAATTTTGAGGAGGCTAATTCTAGCAATTGAATTGAAGGTAAAAATAAAATAAAATAGAAACCAAATAATGAGGCTATGTGGTAAGACAGTGTTAATAAGCATGGGGAAAAAAAGAAATGAGATTTTAAAGACAAAATTTATAGGGTTTGAGTATAAATTGGAATGGGGTTCAAAGGAATGAGTGTGGCCTTTAGAGACAAATTTGATTTTGAATTTTAACCTTACATTTACTGTGGACCCTAAAGCAAGTAACCTAATTTGTTCCTCCTTTGTGAGATGTTTATTCCACGAACATTTTAAAGCACTGGAATTATAAAACTGAATGATACAAATATTGTCTCAAAGCTTTGTCTAGTCTGGAAGAAGAGGCTGGACTAGTATGTTTTGGCCAAGTTGAGTATAGTGTCATGTGACATGATTTTGGGGATTTGGTTTATTCTGGATGCAGCTAAAAACCATTAAAAGAACTGGGGAGAGTTTTGGAATATGGGTAATTCCTGACATGGAATTGGTGGCACCTGGTGAGTGATTTGTTATACCAGGAGAGAACTTAGACTATGACTTTTCTAATTGGAGTGACTGTACCTATAGTGCTACCATTACCTCACAGGATTTACTTATTGTGTCTGTAAATATTGCTTATTCCTCTTGAAGGATGTCTTTTTCCCAAATTAAGTCAGGATTATAAAACAGTACTTCCTGTTGTTCTCTTGTAAAACACTTAGTTATGCATTGTATTACATAATTTACTCTAGTTTTTATTATCTGTGCCCATCTCCCCCCACCCCAATGCAGACGAGTAATTGTGTCTAGTTTTTTACCACTGCATTTTCATCTACCTCATAAGCACTCAAAATCTTGTTGACAACGAATGAATAACTTTTAAGAATTTGCATACTGACAAGTGCTGGTTAGGCTAAATAAAAATGAGAGAAAATAGGGAATGGTCCCTGATTTTTTGTCTGTAACTATGATAGTAAAATTAGGACTATATAGAATAGAATGAAATGAGTCTTGGGGAAAATAACTGAGTTTGATTTTAAAAACATTTATTTTAGATGTTAACAAGACATTTAAGTGGTTGTGTGCTTTTGGTTATTGAAAATTGTAGGCTTATAACAAGAGACGAGGGTTCAAATATATAGAGTTAGGGTTTGTAAGTATAGAGGTGTAATGGGAATAGATGGCATTGTACTGAGATTAATTTAAGTTAATTGACTATTGACAGAAATTTCCAAGAGTGGCTATGTGTGAGAAATAGGAAGATGAACTAGCAGAAGACCTAATTGCTATTCCAGGAGTACAAAACAGATGGGCAGGAGTACAGCATCAGGGAAGCCAGGGGAGTTAAGGGCTAGTTAGCAGTGTGAAATGCTGCAGATATTAAACAGGATTAAAGGGACATAGGATTTGGAATATATCATCATCATCATCATCATCATTACTGATGATGACTTTTGTGAGAAAAATTATAGTTGGTGGAAGATTTTATCCATCAGCATAGGCTAAGCTAATGTTTATTAGATCTTTCTGGTAGTTAAGGGAGAGTAAGGTAAAGATATGTTAAGGGATTAAATGGAGTTGATAGAATTGTGTTGTGAATACTATATGAAAGATATATTTAAAACTTTAATCTTAGCTGTAGATAGATAAGAATAAAAGCCTAAAGATGTTAGTAGGAAAGTTGTTGGAGCAGTCTTTGATCAGTTGTGAAATTTGTAAATGAACAAAACTTAACAAGAGTTTTGATAAGTAATTGTACCTGTAAACATGGTACAAAAGAAGGACAAGAATGGTAGATGTGAAAATAAAATGTGAAATTTTATCTGAGGATGGAGCCTAATATAACTGCATTTTGACATAGGTTTTGGATGGAGGTAAAGGAAACAGGCTTTTGGAAAAGAGATTGGGGATGTATTCTATTAATTATGTATTACATATGTGTATATATATATATATCCATATATATCACCAGGGGAGGAGTGAGGGGTGGAGATTGTTGGCAGATGGGACTATTTTTAAATATAAAATATAAAATGAAGAAAATAGAAATGAGTAAAATGAAAAGTTTTGGAGGAGATGTTGATTGACACAGGCATTTTAAATTTAGATTACATTTATTAGTTTAATTTATAGACTGAGCTCCCTCTTGGACAGACATAGGAATAAATGAAATGAGGGCACCATGTTCCAGACTATAGGGTTCTAATGGTTACATTTGCTAAGTAAATGCACCTAACATTTCTGGTGCTTACACTTTTTGTTTCTTTTCTGGTATAATGTAGATTTTAGATTTTGTATATTTCCTCTGTGATATGTGTTCCTAATCTATAATTAGGAAGACAAGTTTTCTCACATTAGGCTCTGAGCACCACCTGAAATATATGTTAAAATACCAATTCATGAGTCCTAACCTCATAAACTGAATTAGAATCTCTGAGGGTGGAGCCTAAGTAACTGCATTTTAAAATTCTCCAGGTGATTCTGTTACAAAGTTGAAGACTGTTCTCTAAAGTTTTAAAATTGGTTAATTTGATAAAAAATATTTAATGCATTGTATTCATTTGCTGCCTTTAGCCGGTAGAACACCAAGTGGATTTCTTAAACCTTTGGGTTTGCCTTTTTTCATTATCATAAAATGACACGTATTAAAAGATTTTAATTGCAGTTCCACTAGAAATGCTCAGATTGTTTACAGAGGAGTTATGCATTTACAGAGGTCTCGCTTTAAGCTTCAGAATAAGATTTTTTAAATAAGAGTTAAATTTTGATAGATTAAATAGTTTAAGACATAATGTCACAGAATATGAAGGCCCTGTTATGTGCCAGACAGGCATTATCTTACATCCTTTTAGTACACTTTCTCTAATCAAATAGTTTGACTCTTGAGACTCAGAGGTCAAAGGACCTGCCTGTACCCTTATTTTTACATGGCAGATGCTCAGCACATAGAATTTAGTTAAAAGGAAAATTATTAAAGGTATCTGAAGGCATGTAGTCAGAAATTTTTATAAATTTCCAGCCTATTTGTAGAGAGGGTGATGAAATGGAAAGCACTAAGCTTTGTGGTTGAAAATGAGAAAGCACAGTTTTGCCAGCTGAAAGCATTCAGGCTACAAGGGCCTGCCTGACTACCCTGCCACTTGTCTTGGCAACAACAGTAGGGTAATTTGATATTTTTTGTATATTCATAAACATTACAGAAAATTGATTCACTTTTATTTTATAATTAGTTTTAGTAAATTTTTTTTGCAAGTTTATCCAGCTGTCTATATAAAAGGAATTGAGTGAGGTGTTTTATATTTTAGGTTAAAAAATCTGTAAGAGCCTGATTTTAGAATTCACCAGCTCCTCAGAAGTTTGGCAAGATATGGTATGTTTCTGTTTTATTTTTTGAAATTCATATTGCATGAATTATCTTAGTGTCATGATTAGAATGACAAATGTGTTCCACAAATTTGGGCACCTGTCATTTTTAAAGCAGTTTGCTAGGTACTACAGGTGGACTGTATGAGAGACCCAAGTGGGGTGCTGAAAGAATTTGCAAGAAATTAGATGCTGTGGGATGGAAAATAATACACACAAGAAGATTAAGGGGATAGGTTTGGCTGTTAGGCTGTGAATATTTATTAATCACTCCCTTTTGTGAGCACATTATATACAGGCACTGTTCTCAGTTGTCCAGGTGTTAGCTTGCTCATCCTCATAACAGCCCTTGATATTGAAATTCTACCTGTAAGAATTAAGCTTCAGAGGTTAAGTGACTTGCCCAAGATTTCCTACTTCTAAGTGACCAAAGGGATACCTGTTTGTGTTTTGTTGAGCATCAGAATTCACAAAAAAAGGGACTGGAGGGCTGGAGTTGTGGCTCAGCGGTAGAGTGCTCGACTAGCAGGTGCGAGGTGCTGGGTTTGGTCCTCATCACCACATAAAAATAAATAAGTAAAGGTATTGTGTCTACTAAAAAGAGTGGGGGGGGGCGACTGGAAGGGAGTATTTAACTTAGTAATTTTCAAAATACATCTAGTTCGTTATTTGATTAATTGATGTTGATTAAGTCCATTAAAAAGATACTTCGCATTTTTGTGTTTACAAGTTGGAAAGTTAGACTTATTTTGGACCTTTTAAATCCATATACACTGAGAACCCAAGAAGAATTGTATCATGATCAGTCAGTGTTTTTTATTTCCAGGGCGCAATTGTCTCTTTCCATATTACATCAGCAGTACCTAGGTTCTTAACAGGAGACATATAGTTAGGATAGGGAAACTGAAAAATTGACTTATTTTCTTAAAGGAATTATAATTCCTGTTTATCGGAATCCCAGGTTACTTATGTATCTCAGGCTAACCTTAATTCTCTCCTAGATTTGAAGCTCTTTGTTTATAACTGTAGTGGTGTTCCATTGATGTTTCAGCTCTTTCCTTGGGGTTCTCGGATACTTTGCTGTTTTATATTGGATTCTGGGTCCATGCTGTTAACCACTTTCCATGCTTTTCTGTTGTTCTCCCTCTTCATTTTATCATCTTTCTTTAGTTCCCTCCTTAGATTTGACCTGGATATACAGTTCATTAGGGCATCATTGAGGGGGAAAAACTAATAGAATGAAATGATCTCTTGATACTGGATGTTTCATATGTGTGATATCTTTGCCAGAATTATAATATGGCTTAAAAAAAAGGCCTGCTAAATTTGAATTATAATAGTCAGGAAAATTTGGTTAAGACCATATATGGGAGTAAAAAGATAATAGGTTGAGGGAAGAAAGATGGACTTTCTTATCTTGCTATAATTCTTTCATGAAATTGAATCTAATGGGTTGATGACAGAGAGTAGAATACATTTTCATGTAGAAACCAAGGAGATCTGGCTAATGTTAGATGACTCAAGGAAGGAATAAGTAGAACTAGACTTTGGAGTATGTGTTTGTGTGTGTGTGTACCCGTGCATGCACATGTACGCTCACGCTTAGGCATGCATGTGTACCTGCATGCACATATATAGGTAGAGCTATTTTATTAAGTATTTGTCTACTTGGTGACTTATTTCTCCATCTGTGATTAAATTAGTCCCATTTAAACTCCTGCTATAATTGTGAGCTAATGGTCCATGTTCTAAGTCCTTGCTCCTTTATATATATTTAAATCATGAAATTCTATGACAAAAACTAACCCATCTCCCCAAAATATTCCCACCCTTGATAGAAAGTCTATAGGTCATTGTTTTAGTTCTGATTTCAACACTAATTCTAAAATCTTGGGCAAATCAATTAATTACTCTGAGGCCAATTATTATTATTATTTCTTATAGTATCTGCCTTATTTAGGTAGGTAGAGCCAAAACTGTCCTGATATTTAAGGCACCATTGTCCAAAGTACTTTATAAACTCTAATACTACATAAAAAGTACAGATAGCGTCTGTTATCCAAAATGCTTGGGACGACATATGTTTCAGATTTTTTAGAGTTTTTTTTTTAGATTTTTGGAATATTTGCATAAACTTTACTGGTTGAGCATACCTAATCTGAAAATCCAAAATCTGAAATACCCCCGAATTTAAAACTGTTTGAGTTGATGACATGAAACTTAAATTGTTTTAGATTTTAGAGCATTTTAGGTTTTTGGAGAAAGATATTTGAAGAAAAAAAAAAGTGCTGGGAAATATTCCTTGAAAACTTTCCTATAAGTATTTTTCTGATAAATTTTGTATTGAAACCTATAAATTTTGTATTGAAGCTTTGCAGATTTCTTTTAAACATTGAATTGAGTTTATATACTAAAGTGTTCTAACCAAAGGTTTGTTTAATTTGTTAGAATTATTAAACCTACGCTCAGATCAAGTTAGCAGCTAGACTGGTGTGACAACCTGTTTTTAATCAGTGACTCAAAGCTGTGATCACCCTGATGTCACCGAATGGCCACAGCTTGTAAAAGGTAATTTTAAATGTTATTTTACAGCCTTTAAGAGGCTGTCATCATAAAGTGAAATACATACTGTAAAAATGAAGAAAATGTCTAGTTGGCAGGAATACTGTTAAGAACAGAGTACCCAAGAGTTGACCTATTTCTCCATTTAATCTCCTTTCTAATGTATTTCAGTTCATTTCCTACCCGCTTTATAATGTCAATAGCCACCACCAGAGACTTATCTATATGGATAAACAAGAAAGTATTATTTCATGGTTTTAAATAAACATTTTAAAGAAATGCAGAAAGTTTTTTCATGTGCTTTTTAAAGTATGTTTTTTATGTGGTGGAAGTTTACTTTTCTAGAAGTTTTGGCAACTTTAATAAAATTAGTTTACTTTTTTGTCCTAGAGCGTTATAGTGGAGGCAAAAGAGTAGCTTACAGGATAGAGAAGCTGCACCCATTGGAAATGATCCATCATTTGAATTTGCTAAGTCTTGTTGCAGTATTTAGATTAGTGGGCATTTTTGTGTTTGTTATTTTCTGCAATTCATATCAAGACCTAAAATTGAGAATCTCCTAGGATTTATTTTTAATTTTCTAATGTTACTTGCCTATTATGTAGTTTTAAAATTATCTAATTTGTTATTCTCACAAACTTTAGGTTAACTAAAATCAGTAGTTTTAAAAGAAATTTTTTCCCCCTTGTGTTATATGTTGTGAATTAGGTAAAATTAGGAGTGTGTTCTGAATTTTGTTTCTAACATTTTGGCAGTAAAAGTGAATGAGCTTTTTAGGAGCCAAAATAATGTTGGGAACTGTTACTAGATGTTTTACACACACACACACACACACACACACACACACACACACACACACTATAGTTTTGAATCCTCACTTGAAGATATTTTTCGGTAACTTATTTAGAATATTATAGAAATATACTACAAGGGGGATAATAGAAATTTATTCAGATATTCATTGTTACTCAGAAACTATTCTGCTAATTCTGTATATTCACTTTTCTGTGGATTAAAAAAGTTTGCAATTTGAATGAAAAGCAAACTATTATGTTTAAGAGACCCAGCAGAGATATTTATTTTAGGATAATAATATTTCAGTCTTTTCTTACTCTCATCCTTCTGGACTGGATTATTTTAGAATTATTTGGTTTGACTTACAAATGATTTTTAGTAGCTTACTTTAATATTTGTAAATATTAAGTATGATCTTGTATATTTATAGTAACTTAGTAACATTTTGATACTAATGTTTACATATTCTTGCTAAGGGAACAGAACAGAAATTGGGAAAATAGATGTAGTTACCATTTGATGATATATTTAATTTCTATACCATTTTTAGGGTTTCAAAGCTTCTCAACATGTTATACTTCCATGTTATACTTCCAAGATTTGGTTTTGTTTTCCTTCTCCTTGTAGCTTACCTTTCTGAAGTAATTTTTTAAAAAAAATTTTGTCATCATGTTCTTGCTTTTTTCCCCTTCTTTTTTTTTTTTTTATTCCCTGTTAATTTTTGAAAATTTTGCTGCTTAACTGTTTAAAAGCTTCTAATCTGCCTTTCTTCCTTCAGTGCCAGCAGGTTTATTTTTTTGTTTTGCAAGCCAGCTCTGTCTCTTTACAGTATGACATCTGATGTTGGAGGGTCGAAGTTTCAAAAATGAGTCAGCTGGTACATGGGGTTATCATCAGTTTTTAGCTCTTCTGTCTGGGAGACACACATTTGGAAGCATTCTTGGGGTACTTACCCACAAGGCTGGTGGAGATCAGGTGTGTCACAGATGATTTGCTTGCTCCCTGGGGGAGAGGTTGGAGAAAATTTTTGGATTTATGGTGCTGCCAAATCACTACCTCCCCCAGCATGTCCCAGTTTTTAGTTCTTAAATAATTTTGTACAAAATTGAAAGTTTAAATAAACTGCAGATGATCTGACAAATATTTGAGCTGCTGGAGTCTTTTTAAAATATTTCTTTATTTATTCTTGCATTCTTGTCTTGGAATTTGAATGAACAGCAATGTGTGTAAATTTGAAAGCCTGATAACAAAGTGAGATTTTTTTTTTTTTTAAGTTAAGGAATTTAACAAACACTTTTTTCCCCCTTTCTGGTGACTCTGATTTTCAGATTTTTTGTTAGTAAATTGTTTGAAATTGGAAATTAAAGTCAATGATAAATTCACAAATCAAAGTTCTTGAATGGCAATTTGAAATTTTAACTTTTGATGTTAATTTTTTAAACTATTTTGGGAATCTGAAAGTGTTAGATATGAATGAATGTGATCATGTTCCTCTAAAACATTACATATAAAATTATGTGGTTGGCCCAAGCTTTAGTTTTGTCTGCTCAGGTTGCAGTTTGCTGAACCTTGATCCAGAATTTGAGACCATGAATACCACTTTCTTAATATGGATAAGCAATATTGAGATATAAAAAGTTTCACAGTTGTATTGTTGTATTACATGTATTTGACTTGATTTGTCTGTTGGTATCTAACTATAGTGTTTACAGTTTCCTTTCCTTAAAAACATTGTGTTGAGATTTTTATTAGTCCACCCCTTCAAATAAATGTTTTGTATGCAATCTGATTGGACTGCTTTTTTTCTCATGTTGAAATCTTGATTTTTTTAAACCCTTATTCAGTGCTTAAATCTTGTTTTCAAATCTTGGTTTCCCAAGTTAAGTTTTATTCCTTTTTTGAATATGGAATATTTTGCTAACTTTTCTTCAATTGCATTTTACAGATCACCAGGAGAACCTCAGTCTGACAACATTGAAGCTAGCCGAATGTAAGTATAATTTGGTTGAGGCTGTGGTATATTTTATGTAGTCCTAGACTGTTTTCAGTGGTATCACATTATTTGAAAATGATTTCCAGGTAAAAGTAAGTAATGATTTAAAAGTATATATGAAAATGTCTACTTTTCCCTCTACCAAACACGTGTAAACTTTTGATAAGAAATCACTAGATGTTTACTATTAAATAGATAATTGCTTATTCCTGAATTCTTTTGTCATTTGCTCTCCTAGAAGTTGTGAGAAATAGGGAGACAGGGCAGATGAGTTTGACATTCTTAATCCCTACTATGTGAAAGGCATTGGGTTTTGTCATGGATACAAAGATTCAGAGTTAGTTCCTACCCTGGAATAACTTAAATTGAAAGATGCAGAAGCAAAGTTTTCCAGTTACTGAGGTAAAATGGTACTCTGGATGCAGTGGGAACACAGAAGAGTACCAGAGTACCCAGGTGTGCAGCAGGAACCGAATCCAGATGGCAGGAAAATTGAGTGACTAAGTAAGGCTAGGATCAATCTTGAAATATGACTGGAGTTAGGCAGCTGAAAGCATGAACAGATTTCTTCTAGGTAGAAGCATAAGCAAAGTTATGAAGCAGCATATTGAGTGTAGATAACAGTAGTCAGTTAAGGACTTTCATATCATAGATTGATCAAAAGACAAGAAAGTAAACATAAGACTTGGTAAAAAGGACTAAGTCCTTGCATGCCCCATGAAAGGTCTTGATTTGTATTTCATAGATATTTGGGAATTGTAAGGAATTTGCTTAACAGGCAGTAGCATACCTGTAAGACATATTTTCAGTAACTTTAGTAGCAGAGAAACAGGTTTGAAGACAGACACGTGGACATGGTAACCAGGGATTCAGTAGTTCAGTCAATGGGAGCCTTAAAAGGAACAATGGTGTAATAATGAATTCAGAATCAGTTTTTCTGGACTTAAGACAAATACTTAAAAAGTGAAATAATGAAGTCTTCAGTGATTTGTTGTATGAATTTAAGAATTTTAAGACAGTAGAAGTGCACTATAGTAATTATCCAAGCAAGGTTTTCAAGACAGTAAATTGAAATGAAAAATGTTAGTGCATAATTTGATCTTAAATAAGAGAAAAGATCCCCATCTTCTGAAGATAGGAGGAGATAAAGATAAACATGTGATTTTAAACTTTTAAACGTGCATATGGGTAAGATTGAGAAAGTCAAGGTTTTCTTTCCTGAAAATAGAGTAAATCCTTTCACATGATATGTACACTGTGAAACTTCAAGAGGGAACTGTAAAGTGTATTTCTCAGACTTATGTGACCATGTAATTTTTCTGTTAACTTAAAACAAAACAAAAAAAACCCTCAATGTTTTCTTATTGAATGGAGGAAATCTTTTTAAATACTTGATGTATATGTGACCATGTAATTTTTCTGTTAATTATATGTATACAATATATTAACTATATTATATAACTATGTAACTATAATAAAATAATATAAAAATTGACCATCTTGGGGTTGGGGGTATAGCTCAGTGGTAGAGCGCTTTCCTAGCATGTGTGAGATGCTGGGTTTGATCCTGAGTACCACATAAAAATAAATAAAATTGATGTATTGTGTCCTTTTACAACTAGAAATGAAAAAAATCTTAATTAACCTTTTTAAAGTGTGCGTTTCAGTAGTGTTATGAGTGTTAACATCGTTACATAGTCATAATCAGAATTCTCTTCATTTTGCAAAACAAGACTCTATACCCATTAAACAGTAACTCCCCATTCCTACTGCCCCTGGCAACCACCATTTCACTTTCTGTCTGATTTTTGGCTACTCTAAATACCCCATATAAGTATAATTATACAGTTGTCTTTTGAGATTATTTTATTGTACTTTGTACAATATCCTCAGGTTCATCTATATTGTAGCATATATCAGAATTTCCTTCTTTTTTTCAGGCTGAATAATATCCCATTGCATGTATGTACTATAATTTGCTTATTCATTCATCTGAATGGGCACTTGGGTTGTATCTATATTTTAGCAATTGTGAATAATGTTGCTATGAGCATTGGTATACTTTTTCAGACCCTGCTTTAAATTTTTTCAGTATATATGGTAATTTTGTTGTTAATTTTTTGGGAAACTGCCATACTGTTTCCACACCATTTTAGATTCCAAACAAAAGTGTATAGAGGTTCCAGTTTTTCTACCTCTTTACTAGCATTTGTTTTTATTTAATTTTTTTATATTTGTCATCCTGTTGGATGTGAAATGATATTTTATTATAGTTTAGTGACCATGTAAAGTTTTTTTTATTAACAGTATTTTGTGGAACATTATACTTAACACAGGTTAGTTAGGGGATTTGGAAATATTGAAAACTTAGAAAATTATTGAGGGTTATTGGTGAAGAACTAAAGATCATTGAAAATCATCAATTGAATGGCTCAAGGTTAGAAACATTATCACATTTGGAACTTAAAGACTTTTCTCCAATAGCCAGAAGATTATTCATGGTATTCACATTGAATATTAGCAGTGTAGAGGGGATAATACTAAAGCATTATAATAGTTAAATTTTTATGCTATTTATGATGGCCAATAGAACCGTGTGTTCTAAGGTTCAGATGTGATGGTGGGTTAGAATTTTGCAGCACTCATTCTACTTTAAAAACATCAATTTGAACAATTATTCATGGACAAAAATACCTTCACAAGTGCTAAGGAAACCAGGTAATGCACTGGGTGTGGCACAGAAATGAATAAATGTATTGAGGGTAGGCAAGACAGTTTTACATTATTTGTGTCAAGTCTCCATCAACCCTGGACAGGACAGTATGTAAAGAGATAATCTCCTTGCAGGAAGGAGAAGTAAGTATGCACCAGACTTCGTAGAACTCAATACTGGGCCTGCCCCGATAAAACCCAAGGCTGAGCCATGTCCTTGGTTGTAGACCCTAGGCTGGTACCAATACACTGAGTTTCCAGGTGCACCTCAATGCCAAACCACATCCAAAAGTCCCAGGTTCCAGGCTTGCCCAGTGCTAAGCTGGCAGCTAGAATCCTACCCTCCAGCTTGGCCCCTGGGGTCCCACACTCCAGCAGGTTAAGTGTTTAGGCCTTGTTCTCCCGGTTTCAGTAGACTACAGTGCTTAGCCATACCCCTTGGATTCAGGTTGCATGATCGTCCTTGTGAATCCAGGTACTAGGTTAGCCTCTGTGGCCTCAGGACCTATTGTATCTCCTGTGGACCTAGCTTTCAGGCCAGTACTCTCACACTTGGCCTCCAGACTGACTCCTCTGGACTCTGGCTACATACTTACTTCAGAACCAATCAAGCCCTAAACTTCAGATTGTTCCCTGTGACTCTAGGCTTCAATGGACTCAAGAGTGTAGACCCACCCCAGTGGACTCTGTTATCTACATACTAACGCTACACTTCCTCCCTGTAGACTTAGGCTCTAGGCATACCCACCCCAGTGGACTCTGTTACCTATATACTAAGGCTACAGTTCCTCCCCTTAGACCTAAGCTCTAGGCTAACCTTTGTGAGCTCCATCTTCAGGTTTATCCCAGTGAATGCAGATGCCAGGCCCATCCTAGCACTTGATTGTCTTCTGCAGTCAGATTCTAGGCCCAACTCAGCATCAGGTCAGCCAGTGTGGATATAGGGTCTAGATCCACCTTCACAAACCCCATCAATAGGTTTACCACAGTGGATCCAGGCTTCATGAAATTCAGCTTTACAGATACAGGCTCCAGTCCTGCTTTCTTGTTGACTTAGGGACTCCCACCACCTTGCTCGTGGACTACAGCTGCAAGTCCTCCCATGGGCTACAACAAATGGAGGCTCAAAACCTGTAGATAGGCAGACTGTTCAAGGGCTTTTAAAACAAAGCCAGTCTGAAAAGACAGGAATAAGTCCGCACTTTTTTCAAATGTGCAGATACCAACACATGGCCATTGTGGATCAAGAACAGTTAGAAGTAATTAAAATACCAATAATCAGTCCTAAAAAAGTAGAGATTTATGAGCTGCCTAACAAAGAATTCAAAGTAATTGTTCTAAGGAAACTTGGTGAATTAAAAATAAAACACAAAGAAGTAATTCAGTGAAATCAGTAAACAGTAAACAATCATAATGAGAAATTCAACCAACAGATTGAAAATATTTTCTTAAAGAAAAATTCTTTAGTTGAAAAATAAAGTGAATGAAATGAAAATGAATACAAGAGCATAAGCAGCAGAATTGATCAAGCAGAAGACTTTGAATCTGAGGACAAGTTATTTGAAAATATACAGTTAGAGGATAAAAAAGGAAAATGATTGAAAAGGAATGAAGAAATCTTGCAAGGGAAGCTCCAATAAGGTTCAGTCCATGGGTTAGGGTTGTGGCTCAGTGGTAGAGAGCTTGCCTAGCATGTGTGAAGCACTGGGTTTGATTCTCGGTACCACATATAAATAAAATAATGGTGCCTTAACAACTTATAAAAATATTTTTAAAAATTCAGTCCAGACCACATTACTTCAGGGTATGAATGAATAATCAAAGTCAAAAAGGATATAGAAAACAGGAAGTACTTTACACCTTAGGGAGTTCTAATAAGTCTAGGAACAAAAACCTTATATGCCAGGAGAGAATGTGATAGTGCATTTAACCTGTTGAAAGAAAACACAACAACAGGAATATGTCACCTGGCAAAACTATTCTTCAGAAATGAAGGGAGTTTATTACCACCAGACCTGTCTTATGAGAAATATTACAGAAAATTCTTAAAGTTAAAAGAAAATGATGCTAATTAGTAACATGAAAACATAAACACAGTCCAATTCTTCCAATTTTGTATCAATGGCATATAAATTACTTACATTAAGTATGAAAACTAAAAGATAAAACTGTTCAAAATTGTAATAGGTACAATATTTTGTTGAACTGTATGGTATGAATTGTGGCATCAAGAATGTGAAATGTGAGCTGGGTGTGGTGGTGCATGTCTGTAATACCAGTGGCTC